TCTATATCTATATCTATATCTATATCTATATCTATATCTATATCTATCTATCTATCTATCTATCTATCTATCTATCTATCTATCTATCTATCTATCTATATATCTATCTATATATATATCTATGCAATCCTGCAGCATTCCAGAGCTGCAATGCAGGATTTGATTTCTCTGTTTTACCACTCTGGCTCTTTCCAGAATGGAAATCTAAAACAATGATTTGCCTTCTACTCTAGTTTTCAGCAAGATTTCTACTACAATGACACTGATGGGTACTTGGTTTTTGGGGGCAGTGGATACGTGCCAGGAATTAAAGGATATTTTGGATCAGTGAAATACTACCGTCTCAACAACTTAGAGACCAGAAGGGTGAGTGCATGAAGGATGAAAATATGGAGAGGCAGAGGGAGATCAATCTCTGCTTGACAGGCATTGTTTATAGCTGTAGCTTCTGATAACTTCGTGGACATTATGGCTTCTTAGCAGAAAAATACTGGAGTAGGATTCACTTCTGAATACAGAAAGTTCTAATAAAGGAGAATATTTGTAGTTCAGGGTCGACATGAGGAGTCCTTGGAGCTCTCTGAGCTTGCTTGTTTTCTTGCAGATGTTTTATGACCCAACTAGGTAACATCATCAGTGCTAGAAGGAGGTGGGATTTGCAGAAAGGAGGAGGAGGAAGAGAACTGTGGCGTCCTTGGTACTCTCTGAGCTTGGTAGCTTTCTTGTAGATGTTACCTTGCCCAAACTAGGTAACATCATCAGTGCTAGAAGGGAGTGGGAATTGTAGAGAGGAAGAGGAGGAGGAGGAGGAAGAGAGTGCCAGCAGCTCCAGCAAAAAGTTTTTCTCTCAACACAGGCTAACAAGGCTGTTGTCTACCACACCTATTCATCTCCGCTAGGGTGGGGCTTTGCTAGCAGCGGTGGTTCTTCCATCCCAAGAACTGGCCCATAGATTTCCACTGCTCTCCTCTCCTCTCCCTTCTGCACATCCATGTATCAGATACTAGACCCAGCTGTTCCTCCTCTTCTTCATCAGCCACTTTCTTCGGTCCCAAGGAACTGCCCATAGATTTGCACTGCTCTCCTCTCCCTTCTGCGCATCCATATTTCAGGCACTGGACCCAGCTGTTCTTCCTCTTCTTCATCAACCACTTTCTTCTGTCCCAAGGAATGGCCCATAGATTTCCACTGCTCTCCTCTCCTCTGCTTTCTGCACATCCACGTGTCAGGCACTGGACCCAGCTGTTCTTCCTCTTCTTCATCAGCCACTTCCAGACCTGGGGGCTGTTGATTCTCTATCTGAGGGCTGATGGATGGCCCAGGCTCTGCCTCCATCTCTATTGCTCTCTGCCAGCTCCATTCCCTCCTTGGAGCTCTCAGATTGCCTTGATGCTGGCTCTGACTACTCCCACACTTCCTTCTCCTCTAATCCAGCTGCTGGAGGGGCCGGTGGTCGATAGGCCACAACAATCTCAACGGGCAGACTTCCAGATATAACATCTCTTCTTTCATGTTGAGGTCAATAATCATTGACCTATGACCTCGGGATGACTGGAGGTACCATAGTCATGGTCATAGTCATCATAAAAATACATTCATCATAAATCATAAGATACAACACTGAGTGATAATCATAGGTTACTAAATAAGTAATCAAATCATACTAGGAAACTACATAAAACAATATAAATCGTAAACATATCAGCAACAAAGTTATAGTCATCAGTAAAAAAGAAGATAGGTAATAGCAAAGATGAGAAGAATGATAGTAATACAGTCTTAGTAAATAGTTTGACAGTGTTGTGGGAATTAGTTGTTTAGCCGAGTGATGGCATGGGGGGAAAAAACGTCCTTGTGTCCAATTGTTTGGGAACCGTTTTTCTTAAAAGTGCCAATATTCCCCAGACAACGTACACAATTTTTTTTCTTAAAATGCCAACTCCATAAACTAAATAGATTATTTTTCCCCCTTTCCAGTTTGTTCATCCATTCTCCAACAGAGACATTTCGGAGAGAATTGAGATGTTCTATCAGGAACGTGCTAATATCCAGAGTGGAGTAACTAATCATGGGTTCTCACTGCAATATTTTGAAGAAAACCAACAGTGTAAGGAATCGCAATTGATTTTTATCACACCCTTGTTCGGGCTACTTTGAGGCTTTGGGAGAAATTGGACAACCCTTTGTCTGGGTTGATGTGTAGGGTCTCCTGCTTAAGCAGGGGGTTGGACTAGAAGACCTCCAAGGTCCCTGCCAACTCCGTTATTCTGTTAAGGAAATCATTCTCTTCAATTTTCCTCAGGCCCCCTTAACAACTATTACTTGGAACTGAGCAACAAATACAGGAGCTCTCTGAAGTCTGTTGCTTCGGATTGGGAGAAAGGACTGAGAGGAAAAAATCACAGCATGCTTGAAGAAATGAAAGACACAACTCCACAGTTTCCAGAAGGTAAGGCCTTTCTTTGGGATGGCAGGTAGCCAAGATCCTGGCCAGTCTGGCAACGTAGCTAAACATGTCCACCAACCCACACCATGAATTGATGGATTGTAAAACAGGGGTGGGCTTCAAATTTTTGAGCAAGGGGCTCTCTGCCCTGATGACTGGCTCGGTGGGCATGGCTGGGTGGTCATGTGGCTGGGTGGGCATGGCTAGGTAGTCATGTGATTATTGGTCATGAGATCAGGTGGGCAAGGCTACTCTAGATGGCCATGCGACTGGGTGGACATGGCCAACTCGACGTCGCTTCTTTGCCCTAATTACCTAAAAAAAGATGATATACCAAAAAGTTGTTTGTTGTTTTGTGCATTTAATACTTAAATAAAAAGACTGGGTGAAACCAGGCTTAATAGCAGTGACTGTGAGAGAGATCTTGGGAGTCTTAGTGGAGTTTCTGGTGAGTTACATGATTCTTATGATTTGGGAATTAATCCCCTTGGAGGCGAATGGCTATGTATCTGATTTTTCTCAATGGCTCTCCCTCGCAAGCACTGAGTGGAGTGATTATTTAGCTTGCCACACTTTTACCAGGTGTGAAATGCTCTTGGCTGAACCCAGAAGTTCAATTAAGCCTACTAAGAGCTTTCCCTGGCTGCTTGTCTTTCTGAGTTTATTGGGGGCTCTCTGAGCCCCACAGTGTCTTAGCTAGGGGCTCTCCTGAGCCCCTGCCAGCCCCCAGCAGCCCACTCCTTGATTGTAGACATTCCTGGGGGATAAAAACATGCTGGTGGAAGAAAGCAGAGATCCGAAACCAGTTCACTGGCTTGATAATACGTTGTACCTTACTATTTGTAGTATCCCAACCCAAGAAGGATCTAGCATTCCAAATTGGACGCAGGTTGTTCGAGGCGGCTGCTCGAAACCTGTCACGAATGGATGGCTTACTCTATATCAACTCCTCCATTTTGGCCCTGAGGGATGCCAGCCATTGTGGATATTCCAGAGCTTCTTATGTTCTTGGTGTCATCTTCGAAATTGGACTAGGTATATCTCCAGACCCACTTCAGGTAAGAGGTTGGCTACTTGCATTTCTGCTGCAGGATTTATAGACATCTGAGGGGGAGTCTGTTTATTTTATTTTATTTATTTTAGTTCTGTGATGGCGAACCTATGGCACACGTGCCATAGGTGGCACACAGAGCCATTTGTGCGGGCATGCGAGCCCCAGCCAAACTTACTTGCACTGCGCATACGTGCGCCTCCCAGCTGATTTTCAGTCCATTTGAGGCCATTTTCGCCCTCCTGGAGGCTTGAGAGAAGCCTCTGCAGCCTTGGGAGGCCGAAAAATGGGCCTTCCGGAAATACTGGAACCCCGGGGGAGGCCGTTTTTGCCCTCACGGAGGCTTGAGGGAAACCTCTGGAGCCTGAAAACGGGCCCGTTTCGGCACTTCTGGTATTTCCAGAAGGCCCATTTTTTGGCCTCCCGAGGCTCCCAAGGCTTCCCACAACTCAGCCCCAAATTCCCCTTGGTAAGTGAGAACTTTGTTAAGGGAGTTTTGCCCCCCTTTTATGAACTCGCTTGCCACCGTTGTTAAGGGAATGACCGCAGGGGTCAAGATAGTAGCACGGTTGGGAAGTGGATCTGGCTTCCTCGTTGAGATTGATGGTCAGAAGGTCGCAAGAAGGGGTCGGGTTATACTGCATTCTAACCAGTGGGAGGGAAGGAAGGAAGGAAGGAGGAAGGAAAAATGAAAAGGAAGGAAATGAAAGTGAAAAGGAAGGAAGGAAGCAGGGAAGGAAGGAAGGAGAAAAGAATGAAAAGGACGGAAATGAAAAGGAAAAGGAAGGAACGACTAGCAATTGCACTTAGATTATTATAGAATTCTTTATTGGCCAAGTGTGATTGGACACACAAGGAATTTGTCTTGGTGTAAATACTCCCAGTACCATTAGAAAGCATTTCACCGAGGCAGCTGTTGTCGGCGCCATCCTGGCAGGAGCAATTGGGTCCTCATTTTACCCACCTCGGAAGGATGGAAAAACAATGAGTCAAGTGGTTGAGAAATGCTTGAGCAAGAGACTGGACTAAATGACCTCCAGGGTGTCTTCTAGTTCCATTCTTGACTGACCAACTGATTGATCAGCTGAGTTCCTACTTCCACGTTTCTGCATTTGCTATGGTTTATTTTGCGATCGGCAATATAATATGATGCTGCTTTTCCTGGGTCTGACCTAAAGGCTTCCCCAGTGCCGATTCGATCGCCAACTGTCTCACCCTTTGCAGGGATTGCTCTACAGCTTGGTTGCAGCTCAGGAAGGGGACCGGCTGGCTTTGATGAATCTTGGCTACAAGCACTACCGGGGGGTTAGTAATTATCCCCAGGATCTTGAGGTCTCCTATGCTTACTATAGTGACGTGGCTCTAAAGACACCCCGTGATCAACAATCCGGAGGAAGAGATCAGGTAAAAGGATTGAGGCATTTGTTAAGGGAGGGTTGACCCATTTTACAGCCTTGCTTGCCCCTGTTGTTAAGCGAATAACCTCCATTGTTAAGATAGTAACCCAGTTGTAAAGCAAATTTGGCTTCCCTGTTGAACTTTCCTTGTCAGAAGGTTGCAAAAGGGGATTGACACTGCATCCGTCATAAATATGAATTGGTGGCCAAGCATCTGAATTTTGTGCTGCAATGGTTGTAACTGTGAAAAATGGCCGTAAGTCACTGTTTTTTTTCAGTGCTGTTGTTACAGTACTTTCAGTGGTTACAAAACGAATTGTTGTAAGTCAAAGACTACCTCTATTATCTTGCCTGGCTATATGGCAGCACCAAGCTATCTGCAATTGGGTTTGAAAAGCCAAGAAGGTTTGAACTTGGTTAGTATTTGGATGGGAGGCTATTTGGCAATTCCAGGGCTGTAGGCTAGACTGAAAAAGTCAAACATATCCATAACGAGCCATTATTCAAGTCAAGGAAATTGTCTGTCTGTCTGTCTGTCCATCTCTATACCATCTCTCTCTCTCATCTCTCTATCTTTCTATCCACCTCTCTCATCTCTGTCTCTCTGTCTCTGTCTCTGTCTCTGTCTCTGTCTCTCTCTCTCTCTGTATAATATCTCTCTCATCTCTCTCTCTCTGTATAATCTCTCTCTTATCTCTCTATCTTTCTAGCTCCCTCTCTCATATCTCTCTCTCTCCCTTTCTGTCTCTCTATCTCTGTATAATACCTCTCTCATTTCTCTATCTATCTCCCTCTTTCATCTCTTTCTCTATACATATATCTATCACTATATCATCTCTCTGTCCTCTCTCTCTGTCTCTTTCTATATATATCATCTCTCTGTGTCTCTGTCTCTCTATATCTCTGTATAATATCTCTCTCATCTCTCTATCTTTCTATCTCCCTCTCTCATCTCTCTTTCTCTGTCTCTCTATCTATCTCTCTATCATCTCTGTCTACTCTCTCTCTGTCTCTATCTCTATATCATCTGTGTGTGTGTGTGTGTGTGTGTGTGTGTGTCTATCTCTGTATCATGTCTCTCTCTCATCTTTCTATCTCCCTCTCTCATCTCTCTCTCTCTCTGTCTCTCTCTATGTATCTATCTCTGTATCATCTCTCTCTCATCTCTTTATCTTTCTATCTCTCTTTCTCATCTCTCTCTCCCCTCCCTCTCTGTTCTCTCCCCTAAAACCCTGGAATTGCCAAACAGCCTCCCATCCAAATACTAATCAAGTATAAATATGGGAAGCCATGTGCTGAAGATCAAAAGGGGGACACCGAAAGTCCCAGGGCAACACTTCTTCTGGAACAGGCCCCCCTGTCTCATTTCGCCTGGAGCTTGCAGGACGAGTAGCTTCAACTTCCGTAGAAAGAAGGATATTTTGCCGTGATGGGTTTACGGTGTTTGCTCTCTTTTCCTTTCTTTTTCTAGGCCTTGGTTGAAGCAATCAGACTTCAGGATGATGAGTTACTAAAAGCCTTGGCCAAAGAAAATGGGGATATTTTCATGTGGTTGAAACATGAAGCAGTAAGAGGAGATTCGGCTGCACAGGTAAACAAACTCCGTTGTTCTGGTCTAGGCTTTCCCAATATCACGAAGCCTGACTCCTCGTCCCGATAAAACTCCTTTTATTTAGGTTAAAGGGAATTCCTCTCCAACAAAGTCCCGGCCAACAGTCTTTCATGAGATTTCACAACTTCAGATCTTTATCAGGCTGGAGAGTTGCCAGACCGATAGCTTCCAAACACCACGCTGTAGCAGCAATTACTTGGCAATAATTCAGGAACAGATCTTCACCCTAATGAATTGAACTAATTGTCTCCTGCAAACCCCACTCCCCTTTCGCTCCTCTTTATTCCCTATGGGAGGGGCCATTCACCGTCCACCTGTGGCTTTACTCCCGAGTTGACCCTTGTTCCTTAGCTGTTCCCTTCTTCTGGCAGCTCTGTGAATGCACACACCGGGAGCAGAACTCCAGCTGTTCTTCTTCCCTACTGATCTCTGACTCCGAAGGCAGCCAATACCTGTCAGACGACCCTGGCCCCATCTCTGCCTCCGATGCAGAGCCCTTGACAGAGCCTTCCCCAGACTCCAGGACTGGCCCATGTTCCTCCTCAACCTCCTCACTGTCTGCTGCCAGCTCTGTTGGCTACTGGCAGGCTACAACAGACAGGAGGGAGAACTGAAGTGGACACCTGGCCTTGTGAAAGATGTCTCAACCACAGAAGCGGGGAGGGAGGCCTGGGAAACATTTCAGACAGGACCACCCCTAGTTTTCCAGAGATTAAATGGAAAAGGAGGGGGAAATATTTTGATTTTTGTACTTCTGTGAATATAAACTTATATAATAAAGATAGAACCAAGGCGCTCCGGGTACTGCTTTTTTTTCCTGGACTACCTTTGCAGGGCTAACAATTTCCTATTGGAACATTTTATCTTGCTTTAGCAACGTCTGGGACAGATGCTTTTCTGGGGCCAGCAAGGAGTAGAAAAAAATATAAGGAAAGCTGTGGAATGGTATGCAAAGGGTGCTTTAGAAAATGAAGACCCAGTCTCTTTATTTGACTATTCCATTGTGTTATTCAAGGTAAATGTTATTTTTTTTTAAACGAATACTTCGGGGCAGTGGTGGGATTCAAATTTTTTTACTACTGGTTCTTTGGGCATGGCTTGGTGGGCGTGGCCATTTGATTGGGTGGGCGTGCCTTTTTTTTTTTTGCTTTTTTGCAGCCAACCCCCCCACCTGTTTTGGGGGCCTTCTGGGCCTCAGAGGAGCCTCTGGGGGGGCGTTTTTGCTCCCATAAGGCTCCTCTAAGGCTCAGGAACTTACTATCGGTTCGGCGACCCACGACAAATCCTTGCTACCGGTTCACCCAATCCAGTGTGAACCAGCTGAATACCACCACTGCTTCAGGGGATGTTTTCCTACTCTTTTTAAATGTAATGTCTGTAATGTTATCACGAGGAAGGTGGGAATTAGGGAAAGGAAGGAAGGAAGGACATCTAGTTCCATCACCCATGTCAAACTTGGTCCTACTTCATTCCTCTTCCAGGTACTCCTCGCCTTACGACCACAATGGAGCCCAACATTTCTGTCATTAAGCAAGACACTCATCGAGCGAGTTTTGCCCCCCTTTTATGAACTTTCTCACTACCGCTGTTGTGAATCGCCGCGGTTCTTAGTATGAAAAACGGTCATAAGTCACTTTTTCTTTTTAGTGATGTTTAATTTTGAGGGGTCGCTACACAAACTATTGTACTTTTTCCTTTGCAAACAGAAGATTTCAATTTTTGATAAAAGTGCTTCCCTCCCTTTCCTGTATGAAAAAAAGAGGCTTAAGATATTTGGAAATTATTATTATTATTATTTTCTCATCATTTAGGGCCAAGGGGTAAAAAGGAACCGACGTCTTGCTTTCCAGCTGATGAAAAAGGCCTCTTCAAAGGTAGAAACCAGACCCTTTTATTTAGTTTACAGTGAATTCCTTTCCAGCAAAATCCCGGCCAACAGTCTTTCAAGAGCTTTCACAACTACAGACCTTATCAGGCTTGGAGAGTTGCCAGGCCAATATCTTTCAGACGTCATGCTATAGTGGGCAATACTTGGCAAGAATGCAGGAACAGACCTTCACTCAAATGAACTAATTGTCTCTTGCAAACCCCACTCCCCTTTTGCTCCTCTTTATTCCCTATGGGAGGGGCCATTCACTGTCCACCTGAGCCTTTATTCCTGAGCCTTTATTCCTGAGTCATTCACCGTCCACCTGAGCCTTGTTCCTTAGCTGTTCCCTTCTTCTGGCAGCTCTGTGCATGCACACACCGGGAACAGGCTCCAGCTGTTCTTCTTCCCCACTGAACTCTGAGTCCGAAAGCAGCTGATAACTGTCAGATGGCCCTGGCCCCATCTCTGCCTCCGATGCAGAGCCCTCGTCTGAGCTTTCCCCAGACTCCAGGACTGGCCCAGGTTCCTCCCCAACCTCCTCACTGACCAACCCTGCTGCCAGCTTCGCTGGCCACTGGCTGGCCACAACAGATCTGTTTTCCCTGCCTAAGTGTAACACCTTGCCTTTCTCCCCCATCAAATTTCATTTCGTTGCATACTAACTTGTGTCGCGGTTTGTCCATTATGTCTTTTATTGATTTTTTTTCTCCCTTGTCCCAACAGGGATTCCCCCAGGCAGTCAACGGCCTTGGCTGGTATTATCACACCTTTAAAAGAGATTATGCCAAAGCAGCCAAATATTGGCTAAAAGCCGAAGCCATGGGTAGTCCAGAGGCCACCTTCAACCTTGGGGTTTTGCATTTAGATGGACTGTATCCAGGAACGACGGGTAGAAATCGGGTAAGTGTGAATTTTTCACTGTCCCGTAAACCAATGATCCCCTCAACCATTTGGACACCAAGGACTTGTTCCTTGGAGGAAGAGATTTATTCATCTTCCAACAAGTGAAGTCAATGGGGAAGCCAGATCCACTTAACAATGGTGTGTCTATGTAGAGGTGTTTCCCCGAAAATAAGACCCTGTCTTTTAATTTTTTTTGCCACCAAAAATGGCACCAGGTCTTATTTCGGGGGATGTCATCCACTGACTAACCTCACTTGTGTGCGTTGCCCCCGGCCTCCTTTTCGCTGTCAGAGGCCTTCAGGAATTTCTTCTGCAGCCGGCAAGGCTTTCCTGAAGGCTTCTGCAGCCGATAAGAGAGCTCTGGACTGATCCAGAGCTTTGCTATCAACTACAGAGGCCTTCAGGAAAGCCTTGCCAGCTTTGCCAGCTGCAGAAGAAATGGGCCATCCAGGCAGGTGTCGGGGTGTGCGAGGCCTGGCTACAGCTGTCCAAAGGTAAGTAGTAGGGCAGCTCCACCCTCCCATCCTCACCCTAGCTGAAATTGTACCGTGCACTCTGGAGTGGCCAGGAGCTTAATTAGAGCTTATTTTGTGGGGGAGGGCTTATATTGGGTGCATGAGTAAAAAAAAATCAAGCTTGGACTTACTTTCAGGGTAGGTCGTATTTTCAGGGAAACGGGGTACTGTAGTCATAAAATGGGACAAAATTGACTTAACTAATGTCCCACTTAGCAACAGAAATTTGAAGACTACCAGCACTTAAATTATAAATCTGTTTCAGGGCAGCTACCGTGTTTCTCATATAATAAGGCCAGGTCTTATTTTTTTTGAGCCCCGAAAAAATGGCTAGGCCGTCTTTTCGGGGGTGACTTAATTCCCCTCCCTTGCATCTTCAGGCGGGGGGCGACAGCTTGGATGTTTGACCTCGGCGTTGGTGGGGCACTTCGTATCGGGGTCAACGCAGGCAGCACCATATCCGGGTGTGCAACAAAAGTACTTCCTAACGGCAAGCCCCCCCACCATTCCCCCCATTTCGCATGTTTTAATATAGACCTTAATTTGGGGGGAGGGGCTTAATTTCATTTCATGCCTATAAAACATGCTGGGACTTCCTATTGGGGGAGGCCATATTGTTGGAGAAACGGGGTAGTAACCTGTGTTAAACTATTTTGATTTTTTTAAAAAAAGAATGTAGATGGAAGTTACACATTCCTGTGCAACATCTATTTTCTCTCCCCCCTTTGGCAGACTGCTGCGGCTGGGTATTTCTATAAAGCCGCAGAAAAAGGTAATATGGAAGGGACTCTGCACTGCTCCCAGTTTTACATTACAGGAAATCTACCAAGCTTCCCCAGGGATCCGGAAAAGGCAGTACTGTAAGTAAGGAGAAAGGAGAAACAATTGCAAAAAAAAATATTACTTGGTTGACCCTAATCTGTATTAGGTGGTTAGTATGATCTTTTTGCATGCGGTTTTCCTATTTGGGATTCCATGCGAGCTAGGGATTGTCAGAAGCTCTGCAGGAGCTCTTGGTAATTAGATAAATAAAGAAGCATCCCTGTTTTGAACTTCATACTCCATACAACATTAGAAGTGGTAGGAATTCTCACATACCATGGTTACTTAACTTCCCCCTCCTCCTCCTCTTCTCCTTTCTGGCACATCCTCCTCTTTCCTATGGTATGTTGGAATGATCTTGTTAGTCATCATCCTCACACAACCACACATGTCATCCATTTCATTTCTTCTTCTTCTTCTTCTTCTTCTTCTTCTTCTTCTTCTTCTTCTT